ATTTCTCTAGGATCAATAGATATGATTTTATCGCTAGTTTTATAAAAACTGTTTAGCATTGATTATCTTGTGATATATCGAGGCTAGAGAGATGATCTTACCACCATTTGACGCGTCTTGATGTGACTATTCTAATGAGCTATTTACCCAAACTAGAAAAAAACTGCACTGAACCAACCCGTTCAGAGCTTTAGTTTGAGAAAGACCCAAAACTAAGGGCTCTTACAAATGTCATGTTTGTAATGAAATAGGACATAATACTGCTTTTCATAAAAATGCAGGTAATAAGTAACAAGCCTAAAAGACAAATGAGAACACCTTTGTATAGCTGTTGGTTTATGTTACATGATATATTTAACAGAGATTTTTTTATTTTTTTTTGTAACGTGATCATATCTTTACATGTTAATTGTATTTAAACCAATAAAATCACTAAGTCAATTTTAATTTTTGTGATATAAGAATATTTTTGCGATATAAGAATACAGTAAAAAATTTGTACAAATAAAATTAACTCTGGAGTTTGGATTTCAGAAAATTTTTTTCTCACGTGAGATTTATGTAAGTCATATCTCAGGAATTAGATTTAAGCATAATACAGGGGTGCTAGATATAAATTTACCCTAAAAAAAAAAAATATTAATTAAATTATTAAAATTTAAACTTTTATATTATCACAATTTTCGAATTACTGAAAACAGTTTAAATAGGAAAATAAAATAAAAAAAATGATTTTTTTCAAAAATCCATGAAAACAGTAAATTTTATTGTATTTTTGAAAGGAGAAGGTGTGATTATAACATGAAACCTTAATTTTAGGATGAAAAATCCAACTCTTAGGTAAGTTTACTTATAGAGAACTTTTAGATTACACAAAATCTTAAAAGTTACTTATATGCAAACTTACCAAAAAATTAAGTTTTCTGCTTTAAAATTAATATTTTCAGATTATAATCGTATCTTTTCTATCTAAAAATGCAATAAAATTTACTGTTTTCGTGGGTTTTTAAAAAAAATCATTTATTTTATTTTATTTTCCTCTTTAAACTGTTCTCAGTAATTCAAAAATTGCGATAAATAAAATTATATAATATAATATAATTTTTCAATTTTAATTCTATATATAATTTTAATTTATTTTAGCAATAATTATGGCAATTGATTATTAAAATTAGAATTATTAATTTACTTTTTAAATAGTTGGTAAATTCTAGTATATTTAGAGACGTGCTAGAAATCAGCTGATTTCTCTCAATTAGTAGCCTTAACCCCACCCCTACCTGATTGAAATCTGATTGGCTAAAAAAATTATTATTATTGAATATTGAAAATTGAAAATTGCTACATATCACCTGTGGTGATCATCACCGGTATTATATAATTAAATTTTAACTTTATTTACCAGTGATCATCATCAGTAACTACTTTTGTGTAATCTTACTATTAAAGATATAGTTCACTTTATCACGTGACTTATTCCATCATTGTTTGTTTCGTTAAATTACTCTTTTCCCACAAAACTTTTTACAAACATGTTTCCCATAAACACTTCTTTCTTAGACACGTCTTTTCTTTAAGCTTTATAGTTAGTATCTAAAAAAAAATTTGAAGTTAGGATATCAAAAGTTTAACAAGTTAGTACATTTTATAGAACTAATACTTACTTTATTTTACAAAGAGTAACTAACTTGATTTTTCACATAAATATTCTTTCTGATTTTTTAGGTTTTTTTAAGCTTCTTCTTCGGTTGTCTTTACGACTAGTCTCATAAACAACTTTAAAGTTAGATATCAGTCACCATAATATTAATATTAAATCAAGCTATAAATTACGAATATTAATTATGAATAACGAATATCAAAACTGACCATTTAACCTTCAATTTATGGATTATAAATATCAAGACCAAGGCCAACCATCATCTGATCAATTGATGGATTATGAATATCAAAATCAGGGCCAACCATCATCTTATCTTCAACTGATAGATTATGAATATCAAACTCAAGGCTAACCATCATCCGATTATCAACTAATGGATTACAAATATCAAAATCAATGCCAATTATCATCTGGTCTTCAGCTGATGGATTATGAATATCAAAACTAAGACCAATTGTCATCTTATCTTCAATTGATGGACTACGAATATCATCAATATCAAGGCCAACCATCTGACCAATTTCATCCAAAAAATAAAGGGAAGCAAGTAGTGGTATCTTTAGATATAATTACTGAACCTGATTGTGAACAAAATAATACGAATGATAATAATCATACAACTGATGATATTAATGATACAACAATTACAACTGAAATATTAAATATTAATGATACCTTCAAAGATTGGGATGCAGTTGAAACTGCTGTTAATATGTTTGCCAAATACAATGGTTTTGTTGCTATTAAATTTCATAAAGATCTTGATATTATTGATAAAACTATTACTCGTCGTCGTGTTTATCAATGTTGGAAAGCTGGAATTAATAATCCAAATAAAGTAGAGGATATTACATTATATCGTAAGAGTAGTTCAACTAAAACAAACTGTCCTTGGCAAGCTAACTTCTATTTTGGCAAACATGCTGCTGATATACACCTTACGAAGTTTAACAATAGCCATAATCATCAATGTAATCCTGTTTCAATAGAATTAGCTTCTAAAAACTTACGCTTTTCACAATCAATTTTAGATAAAATTGAACATTATACTACAAAGGGTAATCTAAGTGCAGGATAACAATATGATCTTCTTGTTCACGAATTTCCACAGTACCATATTAAAAAAAAAACCTCTATAATGCAATCCAAAAATTTTGAGGTGTTCAGTTTCATGATGAATTTGATGCTGCTACAATGTTTTTATATCTTTTAAAACAATATGAAGAAGATCTTAATTATATAATAATACCACGCTTAAAAGGACCATCTAATGAACTTATCGGTCTTTTTTGGATAACAAGTAAACAGTGTAATAAACTTCGGCCTAAATTTCATAATGTTGTCATTTATAATAACACGGCAAAAATGAATAGATACGAAATGGCACTAAGCTTGTTTATTGGAATTGACAATAATTTTAAAACAAGAGTTCTTATTCAAGCTCTTACGAAATATGAGACACAAGCTGATTATATTTGGATATTACAATGCACTTTAAAAGTAACAAATAATCTTTCACCTCATGTATCATATACAGACGGTGACCCAGCAATGTTAGCTGCTGTTCAAGTTGTTTATCCACAAACTCGTCATTTATTATATATTTACCATATTGCAGAAAATATAAAAAAAAAAGCCAAAGCTTTACTACGTAATGATATGGTTCAAAATTTTATTAAAGATTTTTATCACATGCGTAATAGTTATACTGAGTATCAATTTGAATTAAGATACACCAAAATGCTCACAAAGTATGAGCTGTGTCGATCTTACCTTGAAAAAAAACTTTATTCTAGCCATGAATCATGGGCAAAATACGCGATTTCAAAAGTATTTACAGCAGGTGTTGAGTCAACTCAACGAGTTGAATCCATTAATGGTGTTCTTAAAAAATATTTAGATTGAGGAACTTTATTAAAGGAGTTAGTAAAAGTCATTGAAAATGAACTGGACAAAGAAGCACAATATAATCAAATTAAGAAATATTATGGGTCAAATCCATCAACTGGTCTTCCAACAACATATAATACAATTTTCAAAAATATTGACTCTATTTTAAAGGATCATTTAGCAGGATCCCGGACATCACATATATAACTTACATTTGAGTTTTAGCAAATTCAATCAAAATTAGGTTAAACTCATAATTTTAGATAGAGCAAATTGATTGAAAATTAATTAATAGTCATAATTATGAGTTTTAGCAAATTGTGTTGATTTTACAAAGTCATATTTTATATATATTTGAGCAAATTAGTACTTTTTTTTGAATTTAACTTATCCTTTTTTTTAACTTTTATTAATAATATTTTTAAAAATATTAGTTTCGAGGTCTGGGTTATATTTTGGCCAAAATTAAGCATAATGCAGGCCAAAAACCGTCTGATTAGTTTCGCAACATTTTTTTTATTTTCAGTTTTTTGCGATTATCTCGGTATCCAGTTATCTGATTCATGCGAATTTTTTTTTTTAATTTGTAGAGCTCGATGAGGGCTACAAAACAAAAAAAAATTTGCATAAATTAGACCACTGGATGCCGAGATAATCACAAAAAACGTGATTTTTTTTTGAAATTTAGGCCAATTTGCTAAAAAGTTACACTTATATTTTGAGTTTTAGCAAATTAGTATAGATTTAAAATGTGATAATTTGATTTTTAGCAAATTAGGTCTATTTTAGCAGGAGCAAAAAGTGCTAAATTCATGCAGATCAGTTATGAGTTATATATGTGATGTCTGGGTCCTCATTTAGCATCTATTCTATTATCACTTCAACGAGCTCAAATAAAACAGTTATTATTATATCAGGGAATATTAATTTCAATTGATCAAGTTAAAGAATCCAATAATGAGCAATCTAATGGTATAATTGAACGTATATATGATAAACTGCAAATTAGAGTTTCGATCTGTAACAGTTTTATCCAGTTTTTATCCAGATACTGGCTTGGTTAATTTAGGCTGGAACCACCAAAATTAATAAAAATTTATTGAATAATATTATTTTAATTCTGGCCAAAATTATAGTCCACTCAAAGCCGAAATTTGTAATCTTTTTAATCATAATCCCATGTTAAAATATTTGAGGTTTTATCCGGATCGAAACACTACTGCAAATTAGATTACAAGATCTCTTATCAGATATAAACAGTGACGAAATCCAAGAAATATGGGAGATTTATTATATCACTGTAACATCATCAATATCTATACCACATTATGTAGTAATTCTCAAAAATTCAACCTTGTTTTGTACATGTATGTATATTATCAATCAAAGAATACCATGTCGATATCAGTATCGGATTCTTCTTCAGTCTAGTAAAGCTATTTTTCATATGGGGTTTATTCATCCACGTTGGTATGAATCAATACCAACTGAAACAACTAATTATATTATAGTTGCTCAAGGAAATAAAGATTATACCACCAAAGCTTTATATTATATTGATCAAATTCAGTCTGCAAATGTTTATACGTCAAATATTAAAGAAAGAGTCAATAAAAAGATTGAGTTTGGTTCTACAATATCAGTAGCAAAGACAAGTGTCCAAGTTGCTGTAGCAGAAGGTGTTGTATCAGAATTGATTGGACTTCTTACCCAATTTATTATGAAATATCATCATAATACTGGATTAAATATAGAAAAAGTTTATTCTATATCACATTTTAATGATGATATTCAAGAATCCTCCTATAATTACCAGTGACAGCTATTAGTTGTAGTGGAAGAACGTAATATTCTGGAAATATCAAATTTAGAATATCACAAGCCAAAAGGTCATCCTTCAAAATGATATAAATCATCAACTGAAGAGAATAATTATCAACATGTATCTTTGTCTTCTAAAACCTGTAGTTATTATCTGGAAAAAGGGCATAATATTAGAGGATGTAGGTAACATAAAGCTGACTTAGTTGATAAAGAAAATAATAACTAAACCTTATTAGTTAACATGATAGATTTAGTAGGCAATATTTTAAGTGGGGTTTAAAGTTCAGTTTAATGTAAGATATTTGTTAGGCGACACAAAGTGGTAAAAATGGTTTTCATAGTCCGGCTGGATCAGTTTTTGTTAGGTCTTAAAAAAAATTTTTATATTGTAACTATGCCGGGTGAGAGTTTTTTAAAAATTGAAAAAAAATTTCACATATAAAATTTTTGAAAAAAAAAATTAAAAGCTAGGTTGCCGGGTTATTGATGAAATTTTTATATTATGAAAACCATAAAATCAAGTTTGTATGGCCTTAGTTGCGTATTCTTGATTTCTTGTATAATCTGAAAAAAAACTTTGTAATTAATGATTACTATTGGACGCAATTATGCAATGATTTACGACTATTTGCCATAGTTACGCAATAAAAAAAATTTTACAATAACAAATAAAACGTTAATTGATCTTAAATCACGTGAAATATAAAAAATTGTAATACTGGTGATAAATAGCAAACTCCTTAAATATTATTTTTTTTTTTTTTTTTTAAAAAAACTTTATTATAGATGCAATCATGTCC